CCTCCAGAGCTGTAAGGAAATAAATTTCTGTTGTTTAGGCCATGCATTCCCGGGACTTGTGGTAGCCTGGGCTAATGCAGTGTGCATTGTAGGACGTTTGGCAACATCTCTGATTTCTATGCACTAGATGCCCGTTAGCATCATCCCAATAGTAACAATTAAACATGTCCCTGGACACTGCGAAATGTCCAGGGGGTGTGTGTGTGGCAAAATTGTCTTCAGTTGAGAACGACTGGGGTGCAGACCAGGAGCGCGTCTCTCACTGTGTGTTCTTTAGCCTCTATGAGTTTGGGATCTACAGATCGGGAATGAATGGAAGGGTGATTCATCCTGGGATTTGGTCCTCTCTTGGCCACTTCAGGAGTCTCATTTTGTGGCCGAAGAAGAAACACCTGTGATGAGAACAGGAACGACAACAAAACAGGTCAGGCAGGCATGGGCCTCGGTGGGGTGTTTGCAGCTCTACACCACTTCAGAGGGACAGAGCCCCGTGGTCCATGCTGGTCCTTTAGCTCCTGCCTTCTCAAGTGCATTGCTACACTGGCTGGCAGAGAAACAAAGCTTAGGATCATTAATGACCTGGTTTCTTCCCAAAGTTTCAAAAATGTTGTCTTGATTTGGTCATTGTTACCTGGAAACTTCTGACAAATGGATTTTGGAAAAGCTTTTTTTTTAGACAAGCTTGGATGAGACAAGCTTTGAAATTTGGACTAAAATCAGAGGGAAGACCTTAACTTACCTGGGACTTTTGAGATGCTGAAGACAGAAAATATTCCATAGACATATCCTGAGAAATCATTTCCATCTGAGGTGGTGTGGATCAACTCTTTCCAAGAAAGGGATTATGTGTCTATTTCCAACTGAATTTTCCCCAAAAATGGACATAGAGATTGCAATATTTCACAACTTACCTCCAATTATTACTTTTTAAGCATGACCCCGGCTCTCTTCCAGGCATTTCAGGAACCGTGAGAAATAGAAAGTCACATTCAGAGTTTATCGATGGGAAGGCATCACACAACATGTGGGGATTGTTATACGGAGACCCCCGCAAGATGATGGGTACCTGAGTGCAGATGCCACCCACTCACCGCCTCTGTGCACAGGCATGTGGGACCGAGGGCTGTGCGGATCTCGCTATGCCAAGTTTCTTCAGGTCTTTATGGCAAATGTGAAGTTTCAGAAGTGGCTGGGAACTCTGTTCCACTCTCTCCCCTCTCCACTTTCCCAACTCTGTGGAGACAACAGCTTGTTACTTTTCTCAGTAGCTGTGTCTTGTCTGAGCTATTCTCTACCACAGTCACATATACTGGGAGCTGATTGTCGATGGATAGCGCCTTGTCTCTTGTGTTTGTCATTGTCATTCGCTACTGATTTGTATTGCATCCTCCCTGGGTCCTCCAGAGACTGCCCCTGATTCTTCCGACACCGTCTACAGTGCTGTCTCATCCCGTCCTGATGTACATGCAGATGCTTTGCTGAGTGGCCCAGCACTTCACGACCATCAGCCACCATGCTTCCAATGCCTTCCTGCTTTCTGTTCTTTGACCTTTTCCTGCCCTGTGGGGCCTCTTCCTGCTCCAGGGCCTCAGATCTCTTGTGTTCTGGTCATATTTGCTCTCCATGAGCTACTGCTTTGACTTGCCTCCTGCTGTGTGTTCAGCCAACCCCAATTCCCTTTCCTCTGAGATTTTCTCTTCGGTCATGTCACCGAGTTTGGCCAATGTGGGCAAAATGAGGCCTTCCCAAGTGTGATCTATGCTCTCTCCTTCTCTCTTTTGCTGACCAGATGCAGAGAACTCTGGGGGAAGGCTCTCAGAGATGAAGATGGGGATGACAGATGGAAGAAGAGAGGGTCCTGGGTTCTTGGATGATTCTATGAGTCAAAGCACTCAGACATGCCTGCCTCCTCTGCTGACCCACATGGGAAGAATATAAACTTCCGTGTGCTGACACCCCAAGATCTGGTGATTGTTTGTTACAGTAGTTAGTCTACCCTATTTCATGCCCCATCACTCCCCAAAGCCACTGATTGCCTTTTCTCACCTGCAGGCCCCAGACCAGCTTCCTGTGGTTCCTACACACTGAAGGAGGTCTGTCCTCTGTGAGCTCATCTCCACGGTAGCTTGGGTTCTATATTGGTACTGACCCATTTCATCAGTGCCCAGAGGTGAGATCTCTCTTTCCACTGTTTTTTTTTTTTATACCTTTTGCGTTGGTCACATATACATAGGTTCCAGGACTATGCCCCTAATACAGAGCCTGCCTCCCTTGTTCCGAATGTCTGTTGTGCCTCTTCGGTTGTAGAATGTCGGGGGGGGGTTGCTCCTGGATGCCCCGCCACCTGCCAGCCTCCTGGCAGCCTTGACATCAGGCTGCCGTGGGCATGAGCTGAACTCCCCAAGGTCCAGTGGGGGCCCAGGCAGCCCCAGCACTGTCCCTGTTTCAGCCACTTCTGGAATACCTGCCTTTCATAAGGGCATTCACGCTCACAGATCAACAATGACCCCTCGCATGGGGGCATTTGAACTCTAAAAAGCAGGGAGGAGACTTTTCTGGAAGGGCTGAATCACTCTGCATGGAAGGTTTGGCATCCGTGTGGAGGTGTTTCTGAGCTTGGTGTTGTGGAGGTGTGTTTGTGTCTGTGTGGAGGCATCTCTGAGTGTGAGTGTCCAGGTGGAGACATCTCATCTCGGAGTGTGTGTGCATCTATGTGGGGACATCTCTGGGTGTGTCTTTGTCCATGGGGAGGCATCTCTGGGTGTGTGTACAGGGCTGCTGGGGACCTTCACAACCACTCTCCCTCCGGGCTCTCTCCTTCTCCATCTGCTGTGAATTATCTCTTTCATTACACCCCAAATTCGTTACAACCCTGAGTCTTTAAATATATTTCCTTTTGGTCCATAATTCGATTCAATTGTTTTGTAACTAAACCTTGCTGTGTTGCCAGTGTTGTGCTCAGTGTGGGAGAAAACAGATGAACAGGACCTAGGTCCTGTCTTTGAGGAGCTCACTACGGAGTAGAAGGGAAAGAGACATGTGTCCTAGCAGCCCTACTGTAATGTGGACTGTAGAAAAGTCAGCACGAAAAATGTAAATCAAATGCCATAGGAAAAAGCAGTTAGGCATTTAGCATGCCTGGTAGGATCTAGGTGCACGTCCTGATTTTTGGCTACATTCCTTTTGAGGACTATCTCACTGCTCTCTCCTGGATCATGGTGGATGGCTTGGTTTCTTTGTCCTTCATCGTGGCCTGGCTCTGCTCTTCAGTGCACTCTTCATGTTTCTCTCTATACCCAGGCAGCCCCAGCACTGTTGCAGAGAACTCTGGGGGAAGGCTCTCAGAGATGAAGATGCACAGATACTTGGGTATCGCTGGTGTAAATGCTTTTATGAAACTGCTTCATCAGCAGGCTCCCAGGCCTGTGCCTCCCAATCCTCCTGGGGAGGTACACTTGCTCACCTACCTTTGATCCTGTCACCTGTTCTCCAACACACTCAGCTCTGCTTAGATCTGCACGGCGGCTGCCTTCAGTCTCAGTGCCTGCTCAGATCTGTGTGTGGACATCTGTTTCCCAGGCAAAACACAACTCTGGCTGCGGTGGTGAGATGTGGGATTGGACAGGCACACAGAAATACGTAGAGCTCATGTCAGTAGTAACCATAATAGTAATTAATAGTCTGGATAATAATCATCTAGCTGCAGTGGCAATGCACTTGAAAGAATATTCTTTGGGTGTGTGTTTTTTTAATGTGCTAGATGGGACAGGAGGATTGGGCTTTTGAAGATACAAAAGGAACCTGAAAAGGACCAGTCTGGGATCAATGTTGATTTCACTCATGTTAATGACTACCTGGTATCCAGACTTGGCACCATTGAACTTTCTGGACATTTTTTTTTTCTGAGATGGTTGAAAATAAAATGCAAATGTGGAAAATGGAATGATGAGGACAGACTGCGGGGCCCTGATTTGCTCGCAGAGTCTGCCATCTCTTCCCTTCAAGATGGGGACACATGGCCTCTGCTGGCTCTACCCTCCTGGGTTTTAAGATCCACATAGACCTTGTGAAGATTTTAAGAAATGTCAGCTGTGAACTTTGGGTATGTGCACATCTGACTCCGAGTTTGGGCTTTACTCCTCGTAACACAGCTGTGTTCCTTGCTACTGGAACCAGCTTCCACTTTTCAGGAGTGTTGGATCAAATTGGCATCTGTCTTTCCCTCCGCGTTCCTCTGCCCTTGAGACCCTAACATTTATTCCAGTCTCTCTAGCATGGAGAGCCTGTCCTTTTGATTGCAGTAATGAGTTTACCCAAGGCTCCGTCCCACGATTCCAGAGCGGGGCCCAGCCGTCACACTGACTGATGGCGCTCCGCCTCGCCTGGATTTCCACTTGCCCTGTTCCTCCCACCTGATGAGACCACAGTCAGGACGAGAATGGATGCCTGAGTTAGCCCCTGTCGCCCGTGGCTTAGTCCTCTAGGTGTCAGTCTGGCTTTCCAACCTCTCAGCTCTTGCAGATGGGCCCAGGTGGCCGTCTGCGGGTTGGCCCCAGTGTATACATCCCCGCATCCCCATACATCCCACATGTGGCTGCTGAGCATTTGAAATGTGGCTAGTCCGGATTACAATGTGCTAGCGGGCTAGAACATACTAGATTTTGAAGACTTTGTACAAAAAAGGGCAAACTATTTAATTTTAAAATATTGACTGCATAATAAGATAATATTTTGAATATGTTCTTAAAATTAATTTTACTAGTTTCTTTTTACATTTTTCGTATGGTTACTTAGAAAGTTTAAAATTCTATACATGACTCACATTAATAACTTACATTATATTTTTATTGAATAGCACTGTTCTAGGTGACTAGAACTCTAAGCTAGTTTAGACACTTTTTGAGTGAGGGTGCAATTATCTCACTTATATACAATTTTATTATCTCTATGTGGCAGAGATTTCCAGGGCCCTTACATATCTGTTTCTCCTTTCATTCCAGACACACAGGAAGACTACAGTTCTATGCAGTAGCACTTAGTTGATTGTGAGATCGTGTATCCCTCTTGTACCCCCGCTGAGGAGGCTGTGGGGGCACAGCGTCTCAGCCTGACACTGGGTCAACTGCACGGAAGGTGGGTGCTCTGAAGAGTTGCCTGGAGCTGCAGGGGAATTTGTGTGAATGAGAAATAAACCACTGTCTTGTTAAGCCATTGAGGTTTGGGGGTTTTTTGTAGCCAACCTTTCCTGACTAATAAATGTTTTCTGATTGACAAATTTAAATGATCAATTTGATGTTTTTCTGTTTTACTTTGTATATATATTCAAAGAGAATTTTGAAAAAGCAGATTTAAAAAAGTGAATTCATTTTTGTAAAAATTACTTTTGAAGTATAGTTGACATGTAATGTTATATTAGTTTCAGGTGTATAACAGTGAAAAAGCAGATTTTTGATGTTGTGTAATATGTTAGGGGGAGAAAGCTTGGCTAGGAATTAGAAATCTATGGAAAAAAATTAGAAAAAAGAGTGAGAAGTATTATTGTCTAACAAAAAGAAAAGAATTCACTTCAAGTCCATCTTGTCTCATTCTTGGACATTAATAGGGTGACAGAAAAATCACAGAACTAAGTGATGTATATTCTGACATGTGACATCCAAGGAGGAGGTTTACAGGTAGTGTGAGAGATGCTAAGAAAATCAGAATGTCTAAGGATGTTGCAGATTCTTTCTCTGGAAATAGTGTCGACACCTCTGAACACACAGTTATAAACTGGCTTTCTATGAAGGCCTCAGTTTCTGGAATCACTGGAGATCAGTTTTGAAGTAGGCCAGATCTATTATAAACCTCTTTAAAATTTTTTTTAAGACTTTATTTATTTATTTGAGAGAGAGAGTGAGAGACAGAGAGAGAGCAAGCTGGGTGAGGGGCTGGGCGGGGGAGGGACAGGGGGAGAGGGAGAAGCAGACTCTCCACTGAGCAGAGACCCCGATGTGGGGCTCGATCCCAGGACCCTGGGATCATGACCTGAGCCGAAGGCAGACGCTTAACCGACTGAGCCACCCAGGCACCCCTATTATAATCCTCTTTATGGATTTTACTTTGTTTCTTTCCTTGGGACTCAAAAGGTAGAAACTTCCAGTTATAAGATAAATAAGTACTAGAGACATGATGTACAAGCTGATGACTACAGCTAACACTGTGTTATGATATATAGCAAAGTTTTTTGTTTTTTTTTTTAAGATTTTATTTATTTGTCAGGGAGAGAGAAGGAGAGACAGAGAGCAAGCACAAGCAGGGGGAGTGGGAGAGGGAGAAGCAGCCCCCGAGTAGCGAGGAGCCTGATGCGGGACTCGATCCCAGGACCCTGGGATCATGACCTGAGCCGAAGGTAGCCCCTTAACCGTCTGAGCCACTCAGGCGCCCCTACGGCAAAGTTGTTAAGAGAGTAGATCATCACAAGGAAAAAATACTGTTTTTTTCTTTCTTCTTTTTGTATCTGTATGAAATAATGGCTGTTAACTAAACTGTTATGGCAACAATTTCATGACATATGTAAATTAAATCATTATTCTGGACATGTTAAACGTATACAGTGCTGTATGTAATTATATCTCAACAAAACTGGAAAATAAAAAAAATTATTTGGAATTTCTTGTGTAATTTGGAATTTGTAACCAAGGATTAGGACTTGGGTTTGCCTTACCTTCTCTGCTTCCAAAGGTGAATGCGCCCCTGGGCACTCTTCAAAGGGCAGAGGCAGGGGTGGGGGTACTGTTCCTGTTGCTTCTGAGTGGAGTGAAGAAGTCTGACCATTCTGGATGTAAAATGAATGCTGTGAGTCTCCCTACTGATATGGTTGTGTAGATCTTGGATACTATGTAAGCCCGAGCTCAATCATTTGTAAACACAAATCCATGACAGCACAAGAATTATGTGACTGAGGTAGCTTTCAAATGAAGGTATAAACACTTTTGTTGTTTTTAAGAAGCAGAAAGTTGAGTGGGATGTTTCCAATGGAGAAATGTTAAAGAAACCATGGAGCAATTGCAAAGTTTGTTTACAGGGTCCTTTTCGAGGAAAAGGAGTGTAGTTCTCCGTCTGATGAATGTTCATTTCTGGTCTTGTAAAGTGCGTCAGCGTGGCCGGTCTGTAGGACGTCATGGCGACAGTGCAACCTTTGCTGTGAGGCTCACTACTGCGCTTCTTAAAGAGAAACCAAGAAAATGGTGGAGTAATTCCTCCTAGTAATTCACAGGGTAGCAGGGAAATTGCAGTCTAAAAATAATTGCAAATATTTTGTCGATGATTTTTAAAGTCTATACATTTCTTTTTGGTGTTGGAACAGTTTGAATGGGTGAATTTGTTCCTTTTTATTTTTTTGATTATCATAAAAGTAATGTTTTATTTTTTAATTAATTAATTAATTTTTAAAATTATGTTATGTTAATCACCATACATTACATCATTAGTTTTTGATGTAGTGTTCCATGAAAAAGTAATATTTTAAATATTTAAAACAAGAGAAAGTTAAGATTTTTAAACTGTTTTTGTGTGTGTTCTGTTCTAGTATTTGTTCATATGTAAACTTATTTTTAGATGATGGTACAAAAACATTTGTATTCTTTCTTCACCTTTATCATCAAGATTTTCCAGGGTTTCTTAGTCTTTACGATGACAGTTTTTGATGGCTAGACAACAATAATAGAGTACCTTTACCACAATTTATGTAACCATGGTAGACATTTAGCTCACAGATGTACAGCCTAGAAAATATAGTTAATAATATACTTACGGTGAACATTTCATAATGTATATAATTGTGGAATCACTATATTGTACACTTGAAACTCATTTAATATTATATGTCAACTATACTTCAATTTAAAGAAAAGAGCCTTCATATACTAATTTGAGCCAAAGGGCCTGTATTAGCCAGCTTTTACTAGGCAGGCTGTGCCAATGAATAAGCCCCAAGCTTCAGGGGCCTCCAACAACAGAAGTTCACTTTCCCTGATTTTACTGTTGATGAAGTAATAATAGATTTATGTCTCTTTACAAGAAGGCCAGAGAATGAATGTGCACCAGGAGAAAGAACACTGCTTCTCTGCTCCTCAAGGAAATGATCTTACCTGGCTCCTGTCTCAGGACTGCATATGGAATGATGGAAGACACTGTTTGGTGGTGACAAACGGGGCCACCTGCACTTTGTATTCTGAGGAGCGATAAGGGTATGGCGAGCCCTTCTTTCCTCCTTTTCTCTCCATACCGAGGCGACCTGGGGGGGTCCAGCAGCCACGGACATGCTCCGGATCCACTGTGGAATCCCACCCCGGGGGAGGATACTGGTATGAACGCACTCAACTTGTATCAGTGGAATAATATGAGCTATCTAGGAATCCTTACAGCATTTAATGTATTTTTCCATTTTCCCGACTATCATATAGAGAGGGATACAATAACGGGAAAACTTTGTCAAGTGTCGACAAAGCTGCTGGCCTCACACACTACAGTAACCAGGGGAACAGGAATTATTTTCTTAGTTTACATATTACAGCAACACAAAGGGATTTAGAGCATTATCAACAATATGAGGGATTACTTGAAAGACAACCAATGGTCGCTGTGTAGGTTTCTTGTCTCTTTCCTCCATTTGTTTTATGAGCTTTTAGGAAAAAAAAAGAACAACAACAACACACGTGCCTTTTCTCCTCTGTTGCCCCAGGCCTTCTGGAAAAGCCTCCCATTGACTCCCTGGGGCAACAGAAGCACCACATCTAGAAGCATCCTCCCCTATTGGAGGTGCTGATGAATAGCAGTGGACTGGGTCTGCATGCTGTAAAAGTGAGCCGGGGGGTTTGGGACCCTCGGGTAGGGGGTGAGCACCTGGGGAAATGAGTGGAGGCTTTCAGACCTTGGCTAGCACACTCGAGGAGGCTGAACACAGCAGTGACGCTGTTGGCTCCAACAGCCCAGGCCTTTCCTGGGCAAAGACTGAACTGACATCTCTTTTCTCTAGTTTGTAGGTCATACCCTTGCAGGGCATTCTGCACTCCGAATCATTTAGGCAACTGAGTGGAAAGTAGCTACCAGGAACCACATACTTCAAAAACAACAAGGTATTCTGATTACAAGATTCACTTTTATTCTAAGCTATTTTAATGGATTAGAACATGCTCAACATAGATTTCTCCAGTGTCTGAAAGCAGTGAATAAAAGGAACCTGGGTCTCCCACTGCCCTCGTGGGCCAGGGATAGATAGGCAACAACTTCTACATTCTTTCAAGATGGATTTCAAACCAACCTTGTGTTCCTGCATCAAGTGCAACATTTTTATGATTTAATCTACTTTTTTCATGGTGTGAACTTAATTTGCCAATGTTTAATATCTGTGCTTTCGTAAATGTGACTGGGCTGAAAATGTTTTGCACTGTACTCCCCTGGAAAGCCAATGGGATCTGGTGTCTTTGGGGTGTAAGACTATTGATTTGTAGATCAGTTTCTGTAATGGTCACTTGGGTTTTCTATTTCTTCTTGACTAAAATTTGCATTCACATTTATATCTAATGTAAATGTATGTGTAATTTTATGTTTTTTCTAGAAAGTTGGCCATTTCTTCCAAGTTTTCAAATTTGTTGGAAGTATGAAAGTATGAAAAGTATTCAATTCTTACTGTGATTTTTTAAAATCTCTTTGGTATCCACTTTTGTATTACTAATATTAGTAATTTTGTTTTTTTTCTCTCTGTCTAGATGAGTCTGGCTGGATGTTTGTCCTACTTAGTTTTTTCAGAGCGTCAGCTTTGGTTTTTGTTGATCTCTATTATATATTTATTTCCTATTTCATCAATACCTGCTCTTATCTTTATTGTTTGCATCTTATGACTTCTTTAGGTTTCACTTTATTGTTCTTTGTTCAAGCTTTTAAATTGAGCATTTAGTCATTGACATGGATTCATTCTTTTTGGTTTTTAATATCTACTTGAAGGCAATACATTTTCCTTTACACACCACTTTTTTAAAAAGATTTTATTTATTTATTTGACACAGAGAGACACAGCGAGAGAGGGAACACAAGCAGAGGGAGTGGGAGAGGGAGAAGCAGGCTTCCCGCAGAGCAGGGAGTCCGATGCTGGGCTTGATCCCAGGACCCTGGGATCACGACCTGAGCCGAAGGCAGACGCTTAACAACTGAGTCATCCAGGCTACACACCCCTACCCACCACTTTTAATAGGCA